TGGGACTCAGCCTAGTCCAGGAAGCAGTGTGTCATGGTGGAAAGGACCACCTGAATTTGGTCATGGCTTCTATTTGACTCTGTTGACTTAAACAAAGCACTCTAGGGTTATCCTAAGATTCCTCAACTATAAAAAGAAGAGATTGGATTGGATGCCTTAAGAGTTCCATTCCAATTCTTGTGTTTTATGAGTACAGACCCAGCCAAAGTCTGTGTATCTGAAAGCACCCACCAATGGGTTGTATATCCTTGGTCCCATGGACAGAACTTTTCCCCATACTAACCATAAAGCTGAGATACTCCCATGGCTACACACAGCATCAGTGGGAAGAGGGCACAACCTTGAGTAGAGCAGTAGTATGTAAGGAACACATGTGGTATGATGAAAGATTTTAGCTGGGACTTGATGGAAGTATGGAAATCCAGGAGGCAGATAGGAGGAAGGAGAACATTCTGGGTGTGGGTGTGATGATAAAAAAAAAGTTCATCATCCTGAATCCCTGAATCCATGAATATGACAGTTAGAAGGGAAGCTTGGCAGCCTCAAATTCAGCCCATCCATGAAAGAATCCCCTTAGAACATCTCACTAAGTCCTCATGGAACCTCTGACTGAAACCCTCCAAAGAGAGAAAGCCACCAGTTGGAACAGTGGGTCTAAACTTGGAGTATGATAGTAGTGTGTAAGGAACACATGTGGCCAAGACAATTCTCACCTCTGCCACTGCAGGACCCCTTAGTATCCTTCTACTCCTTCCCTTGAGGACAGTGTCTCTACTGGGCTCCTTGCACTTCTTCCTCTCTGCACCTCAGCTTCCAATGGCCAGGGCTCTTCTCTTTAGCTTCCATGCTCCAATAATTTGCTTATGATATCATTCTTTATGTCTAAATCATCTACCCATTTTGATACCATTACCTTAGTATATAGTATGAATGGTGGTGTCTACCCAATTTCTAACAGATCACTTCCCAGTTTTCTCAACAGCTTTTGTCAAATAGTGAGTTCATGACCCAGTAGCTAGCATCTTTGTGTTTATCAAACATGAACTACTGTGCTCATTTGCTTCTGTATATTGGGCACCTAATCTGTTCCATTGATTAACTTCTTTATTTCTTACCCAGTACCAAATTGTCTTAATGGTTACAGCTTTGTAGTATGGTTTGAGATCTGGTCCTGGTAGTCTACCTTCTTTCCCATTTTTATTTCACTGATTCCTTTGATATTCTTCAATTTTTATTCCTCCAGATGAATTTTGCTATGATTTTTTTTTAACTCTATAAAGTAGATATGGCATGAATAAGTAAAATAATTTGGGTAGTATTGTCATTTTTCATCATGTTGGCTAGGCTCATCCATGAACAATTAATAACTCTCCAAGTATTTGATCTGTCTTTATTTGTGTGACGAGCATTTTGCAATTGTGTTCATATACAGTCACTTCCCGTTGTCTCCAGGAACAAACACACAACGCTCCATTGAGTATTCAAAGCCCTTCATAACCTAGTGCCTTCCTACCTTTCCCATCTTCTTACACCTGACTCCACAATATGCACTTTTTGATCCATGACACTGGCCTCCTGACTGTTCCAGGAATAAGACTCTATCTCTAATTTATGGATTTGCTGTCTCCATTTCCCTTGCCTGGAAGGCTCTCCCTCTTCATCTCAGACTACTGGCTTCCCTGGCTTCGGAAGCCTTCCACAACCCCTCTTAATTCTGGTGACATTCCCTTATTTGCTGTATGATATATATGTGTGTGTATATATACATACACACACATATGTATATATACACTCAAATATATGTATTTACACACATATGTGTGTATATGTATATACACACACATATGTATATATACACTCAAATATATGTATTTACACACACATATGTGTGTGTGTGTTGTCTCCCCGACTAGATTGTGAGTTTCTTGAAAACAGTGACTGTCTTTTGTCTCTTTTTGCATCCCTAGTGTTTAGCACATTGCCTGGTACATACTAGGCACTCAACATATGTTTATTGACTTACTGACCGAAAAGAAAAATTTCAAATTTCCAATAAAAAAAAAAGTATTTCCATAATCGTTGTAGAACACAACACAGAATACAAAACTGTGTATCTCTAATATGTATAAATCATGCTTTTCCTTCTAAGTTTTTAATACATTCAACGTGCAACTTTCAAAGGTGCCCTGCTTGTCTCTGATTTCTTCTAGCTTTTTTGTTTGGGAGGAGGGATTGGAAACTTTATCCCTAGCCTCTCTACCTCATTAACCCTCTCGCCTCTATTGAAATAAAAGAAAAGTGGGGCAGCTAGGTGGTGCAGTGGATGGAGCACAAGCCCTGAAGTCAGGAGGACCTGAGTTCAAATCCAGCCTCAGACCAAACACTGGACACTTACTAGCTGTGTGACCCTGGGCAAGTCACTTAACCCCAATTGCCAAAAAAGAAAGAAAGAAAGAAAGAAAGAAAGAAAGAAAGAAAGAAAGAAAGAAAGAAAGAAAGAAAGAAAGAAAGAAAGAAAGAAAGAAAGAAAGGAAAGAAAAGAAAAGCAAACCCTTGTAACAAATACATATAGTTAAGCACAAGAAATTCTCCCATTGGGCCTGTCTAAATACAAATGTCTCATTCTGTATCTTGAGTGCATCACTTCTTTGTCAGGAGGTCATTCATCATCGGCGCTCTGGAATCATGTTTGGTCGTTACACTGATCAGAGTTTCTAAGTCTTTCAAAGTTGGTTGTCCCTAAAACATCATTTTATTGTTAAAAATGTTCTCCTGGTTCTACTCACTTCACTTTGTGTCAGCTCACAAAGGCCTGGCAGACCTTTCTTGGAAATTGTGCCTTTCATAATTTCTTAAGGGTGAAATAATATTACATCCAATGCATATGCCATAAGTTCTTTAGCCATTCCCCATTTGCCAGATACTTTGACACCATAAAAAGAGATGCTATACATATTCTTTAAGAATATGAGTTCTTTTCCGTTATCTTTTATTTCTTTGGGATATAGACCTAGTAGTGATATTGATGAGACAAAGGGTTTACATAGTGTGTTGGCTTTGAGGCATAATTACAAATTGCTTTCTTGAAAGGCTAGACCAGTTCCCAGCTCTGCCAAGAGTGCGTTAATGTGCTTGTTTTCTCACAGCCCTTCCAACACTTGTCATTTTTCCTTTTTGTCATTTTTGCCAATCTGATGGAGGTCACCTGGAACCTCAGAATTGCTTTAATTCACATTTTTCTACTTATTAGAGATTTGGAGCATTTTTTTTTACATATTGGCACCTAGGAACTGTAGTGGATAGGGCACTACATGCAAAGTCAGGAAGACCTGAGTTCAAATCCTGTTTCAGATGCTAGATATGTATTGTAATATTAAATGGAACAATACATGTAATGCTTCACTTTGTGAACCTTAAAGTCTTATGGAAATCCTAGTTTTTAGTACAGGTGTTATCTTTATCATTATTATTATTAATTTGTTCCTGACAGCTAAAATTTTTTCCCTTTGAAAACAGCTTATTCAAGATTAAGCACATAATACACAGTAGGTAATAACCATAGTAATCTAATATTTGATAAACCCAAAGATGCTAGGTTTGGGGATAAGAACATACTATTTGACAAAAGCTGCTGGGAAAGTTGGAAAGCAGTTTTGCAGAAACTGGTTATAGACCAACATCTCACACCATATATCAAGCTAAGGTCAAAATGGGCATGTGATTTAGACATAAAGGGTGGTACCATAAGCAAATTAGGAGAACGTTAAATAATTTACCTGACAGATCTATGGATGAGGAAAAATTTATGACCAAAGAAGAGATAGAGGACATTACAAGACGTTAAATGGGTTTTAATTATATGAAAGTTAATGCAGCCTAGATTACAAGGAAAGCAGAAAACTGAGGGGAAATTTTATAGTAAGAGTCTCTGATAGAGGTCTCATTTCTCAAATATATAGAGAACTGAATCAAATTTGTAAGAATACAAGTCATTCTCCAGTTGATAAATGGTCAAAGCATATGGACAGGAAGTTTTCAGATGAAGAAATCAAAGCTATCTTTGTTAATGTGAAAAAAAATGCTCTAAATCACTATTGATTAGAGAAATGCAAATTAAAGCAATTGTGAGGTACCACCTCACACCTATCAGATTGGCCAATTTGACAGAAAAGGAAAATGACAAATATTAGAGGGCATATGGAAAAATTGGAACACTAATGCACACTGTTGGTGGAGTTGTGAACTGATACAATCAATGGAGAGCAATCTGGAGCTATGCCCAAAGGGCTATAAAACTGTGCATACCCTTTGATCCAGCAATACCACTACTAGGTGTGTATCCCAAAGAGATTAAAAGGCAGGGGGAAAGACCTATTTGTACAAAAATATTTATAGCAGCTCTTTTTGTGGTGGGAAAGAATTGGAAATTGAAGGGATGTCTATCAATTGGGGAATGGCTGAGCAAGTTTTGCTATATGATTATGATGGAATACTGTCAAAGTATAAGAAACGACCATATGAACTGATGCACAGTGAAGTGAGAAGAACTGGGAGAACACTGTGCCAAGTAATAGTAATATGGTACAATGGTCAACTGCTAGTAACTTATCTATGTTCTCAGCAGTACAATGATCCAAGGCAATTTCAAAGGACTTATAATGAAAAATGCTCTCCACCTTCAGAGAAAGAACTGATGGAGTCTGAATGCAGATTAAAGCGGGCTGGTTTTCATTTTCTTTCTTTGTTTCTGTTTTTTTTTTCTTTTTGGGTCTCTGTCTTTGTTCACAACATGACTATTATGGAAATACATTTTGCGTGATCACACATGTATAACTGATATAAAATTGCTTACTGTATCAGGGAGGAGGGAGGAGGAGGAGAGGAGGAGAGAATTTAGAACTGAAACTTCTTAACGAATGTAAAAAATTGTTTTTACATGTAATTGGAAAAAATGAAATATTCAGAAAAAGAAAACTGCCTATTCATATCCTTTGGCCATTTATCAATTGGAGAATGAGCCACCTGGCTTTCTCCTTTCTTGTTCCCAGATAATTCTGTTATAGGTAAGAGTCTCATTTGATTTTTAATAATTCAATTTGATCCAGTTCAATTCAATCCACATTTATTAAGGTCCTACAAGACAGGGCAGCATTGTGGGTGCTGAGGACACAGAGAGGAAACAAACAGAACAGTCCTTCCCTTCCAAGAGTTTACATTCTACAGGGCAAATGGCAGCTATAGTGCATATAAAGGAATGAACATAGAAGGCAATTTGAGGAAGGAAGGATCGCTAATAACTAGCAGAATGAGGAATGTTTTTCCATTGCAGCTGGTACCTAAGGATTGTCAGAGGGAAAGGCAAGTTGGTAAAAGAACCTGGGCATAGGGGCACAGCCTGTGCAAAGGCATGTGACTGGGATGCTAGAAGACAAGTTTGGCTGGAACAGAGGTGTGATGAGGGGTATCACGAGAACTAAGCTTTGGAGTCAGGGCAGCTTAAAGTAAATGGGTACAGGTTCTCTGGGAAGTGTTCTCTGAGACTCTATTTTAGTTACATTTTGTGTTCATTTATCTGGGTCTGTGTTGTCTCCCCAGACAGAATGTGAGCTCCTGGAGAGCAAAGCTTGCTGGGTTTTTGTCTTTCTATCTCCAGTGCCTGGCACTTAGTAAGTGTTTAATTAACATTTGTTGATTGATTCACAAACTGAAACCTCCTGGAAGACTGGAGTCCAAGCAAGACCACTGGTGCTCTAAATGCTGGGCACGCTGCCTCCCCACCAGGTGGAGGGGAACCCCCAGGTTAGACTAGAGTCCTTTTCTTCTCAGTCAGACTCCTGAAGCAATGTTAAAATTGGCTTATTTTCACTGCAGCATCACCTTCATCTCTAGGTCTTTCTCCTTCTCTTGAATGTCTTCCCATGAAAGAATGGAAACAAGAAACAAATGTGAGCGTGTGCAATAGAGGAAAGGGAAGGGAATAAGCATTTATTCCTGCTATCGGCCAGGCACCGCGCCAAATGCTATTACAAATATTAGCTCATCTAGCTTGGGAGGAAACTTGTCTGAGACAGCTAAGAAGCCCTTGATGACTATTGGATACGAGTCTATGTCTTTGGGCGCCACCTTGTGGTACTGCCTTCTTTTAAAACAAAAAGGTTTTCATCTCAGAATTCAATCCAATTCAAGGAGTATTTATTAGGCATCTCTTCCTGTTGCTCACTGCTGATACGAAAACAATTGTGTACTATGTAAAGAGCCTCTGCCTCTGCCTCTTTTTTTAATCTATGTGTGGCCAACTTGTTTTATTTTCTCAACTGTAGAAGAGGGGATTAGACTTGGTGACCTCTAGTATGGGATGTCAGGGCTATTAGGGACCTCAGATATCCAGCCCTGCACAGTCCTAATGGCCTAGGTCCCACAGTTATGAACTGGCCAACGAGGATTTGGAGCCAGGGTTTTACAGTGCAGTTGAAAGCCTTTCCACAGCACCATAGGATCTCTGAATACTATTTCCTTCACTGGCTCTCCATCCTCTTCCTGATCCCTTAAAATCAGGAAACATAGAAGGGCCCTCTCCATTCTTCTCTCTATAATCCCCCTTGGCTTCCCAGACTCTGGTTTCTTCTTGTTGTCCTCCTGCCTCTCTGGTTACTTCTTCTGTGTCTTTAATGGGCTTCTCATGCTCCTTCTACCTCCTCCATGAGAATAGAAAGAATATTAGATTTATTAAGCTCTTGTTGTGTAAAATCATTCTAGTAGTCTATGGATTGCTAAGGATACAAGGATAAAGTCAGAAAAGTCCCTGCCCCAAGGAGCTTACTATCTATACAAATGAAACACACTCCTTTCATCCCCTTCCCTTAGAAGGATAGACAGATTTCTTAGGCAGGATAGGACTGACCTTTTACAAAACTATGAAGTTTTAAGGCTGATGAATCTCCCACCTGTCAATGTCATCAGCTATGTCCCTCCACACCATTATCTACCCCCACAACCTCTTTCCAGCCCTGAAAGGTATGAAAACAATGCTGCCATTGCTCCTGGAAAAACCTTGTCAATCAACTCCCCCATGGCTCCACTTATCCTCTCTGTGACTCTCCAGACCAAAACATTTGCCCAGGCCCATGATTCTCTCATGTATACTTTCTTCGTCTAGTGGAATTTAAACTCCTTCATGGTAAGGACTCTTCGCTTACATATTTGTTTCCCAAATGCTTAGCATAAAGCATGGCAAACAGTAACTATTTAAAGAATACATTCATTTATCCTTTTGGTCCAACTCCCTCTTTTTACAGATGAGGAAGATAAAGCTCAGACAAGTTAAGTAACCCTCCCAAGACACCACGGGCAGTACTCACGCATATTCTATATCTTCGATGGTGTCAGGCATTGGTTTATTTTGGGTTTCCGGGAGGAAGAAGAAAAGCACAAGGCTGGCAGTGATGGCTATGACTGTAAAGATGATGGGTGGCAGCGCTGGAATGTAGTGCTTGAGTGTATTCACCAATGGGGCCAGAACTGCCCCAATCCGATCTACCGTGAGACTGAGTCCCCTGCACGTGTTCCTGTCAGGGAAAAGGAGATCTGATAGTCCTAGACTCAACAGCTGTTAAATATCCCCTTCCTTTAACTTCCTGTGAGTAGACTTTATAGTGTGTGGGAATCATTCCTGAAGGGCTGAAGTTCTTAAAACCTGTAGGAAGCTCAAGGGATCCTTGAATTTATATATTTGAAAAGAAAGGAACTGTTGCTCTATCCCCAAATGATCCTGTCAATAAATAAGCAGGTATGTTAGTTTGATCTTTCCAGAATAGGTTAATTTCTCCTGTTTTGCTCTTGTATCTACAGCTGAATGGGTAAAGGATTAAGCTACTTCATCACTAGTAAGGATGAAGCACCTCCATTTGTAGCGCCCTGGGAAAGGTGCCACCATTCTCTCATATCTCTCCTCCTGGTAGAGTGTAAGCTCCTTGAGGATACAGACTAGTGGCACATCTATTTCCTAGAAAAGCTAAGAAAACAACATACAAACTGAACATAATGAGATAAATGGAAAGAATGACACAAAGAAGTGTTATGACTAGACACACTTCCTTCTCCCCCTACCCCTTTGAAGAGGCAAGAGATCCATGGGCATGAAATATTCCTGATATTTTCAGACTTTTTCAGTGTGTTGATCATCTTTACCCATTTTCTTCTCTTCCTCCTCTTTTCTTTTTTCCTGTTAAAATATTCTTTGCCCAGAATGGCTCTTAAGGTGGACAGAGAGGGGAGGAACAATGGGAGAAATGTAGGCGATGTAAAAAAAAATATCTTGCACTTGGTCCCATCACTTCCTGGTAAAGTGAAGGAGAAGAAATGGAAGTTGTGTCTGACTTTTCTATTCTTGGGATGAAACATTGTAAATGGTGACAGCAGCCGTGAAATTGAAGACACTTGTCCCTTGGAAGGAAAGCTCTGGCAAACCTAGAGAGAATATTAAAAAGCAGAGACATCACCTTGCTGAAAAAGCTCCATGTACTCAAAGCTATGGTTTTTCCAGTAGCAATTTATGCATGTGAGAGTTGGACTATAAGGAAAGCTGAATGTTAAAGAATTGACACTTGAACTGTGGTGCTGAAGAAAGACTCTTGAGAGTCCCTTGGACAGCAAGGAGATCAAATCAGTCAATACTTAGAGAAGGTAATTCAGACTGTTCACTGGAAGGTCAAACGTGAAGTTGAAGCTTAAATACTTTGGCCACATAATGCAAAGAAGGACTCATTGGAAAAGACCTAATGCTGGGATGTTGGGAAAGACTGAAGGAAAAAGGAAAACAGGATGGCAGAGGATGAAGCAAATAGACTGTCATGGAAACAATGAACATGAACTTGGACAGACTTTGAGAGATAGTGGAGCATAGAAGGCCTGATATTCTGGGTCCATGGGGTCACAAAGAATTGGACAGAACTGAAGACTGAACAATGAAAACAAATTTATCACTAAAATTTTAAAAAGGATTAACCTTGTCTTCATTTTCAGATTTTATAATGAAATCCTTTCTTGTTTCTCTCCTCTTTCCCCTGCATTCTTCTTTTCCTCATTCTATTTTTGTCTTTTTCTGTCCAGTCTTTCTTTCCTTCTTAGTTCCTTTCTTTGCCAGAACATAGAGGATATATTGTGAAACCTGGAGTCAGAAAGACTTAGGTTTGAATAATTGAACCCTGGCATGACTTGTGTAGAATCACGAATCTGAGAGTTGGACAGGACCTAGATGGCCATCTAGTCCAACTCATGCATGAAGAAATCCCCCCTATAATACATGCAACAAGTTGTCATCCAGCATCTGTTTGAAAGCCTCCAAGGAGGAGGACCTCACCACCTCCTGAGGGGGCCCATCACCAGTTCAGTTGGGGACAAGTGGAATCCTTAGGAAGCTTTTCTGGACATCAAGGCTAAATGTGCCTGTGAACATCCACCATGGCTCCTGGCTCTCATCTTGGTTAGGGCCAAACAGAGCAATGCTACTCTTTCCTCCACAAGACAACCTTCAGATACTAAAAGCAGGACTTGTCTTCCCCCTGGATCTTCTTTTCTTAAGACTAAACATGCCAAGTTCCTTCAGTTGATCCTCTTGGGTCATAAGCTCATAGCCCTTCGCCATTCTGGATGTGCTCTTCTGGATACCTGTCAGGTCATCAACGCCTGTGATGTCCAGATGAGCTGTGCCAAGGGCAGGGGACAGAGGGACTATCACCTCTTTGTCCCTGGAAGCAATGTGCAGTGGGTCTTTTAGGCTTACATCTATCTTTATTGCATTTCATTTTCTTAGAGTCAGCCCAATGTTCTTGCCTCTCAAAGTTCTTTTGGATCCTGACTCTCTCATCCAGTACATTAGAGATCCCTCCCAGGTTTTGGTCATCGGTAGATTTGATGACCAGGCTATCTATGCCTTTATCCAGGTGATTGACATAAAGGGTAAAGAGAACAGGGCCAAGCACAGGTCCCTGGCGCACTCCACTGGACACCTCCTGCTACACTGACAATGAACCATTAAGAACTACACTGCTTTTTTCACTTCAGCTGACGCACAATACATTCTGCTCCAGCCTTTTACCTTTCCCCTGTGTGTGTCACTCTTTTTCAAATGTGTTTCCTGTAAACAACATATTGTAGGATTATGGTTTTTAATCCATTCTGCTATCCACTTCCATTTTAGGGGGAGAGTTCATCCCATTCACATTCACAGTTATGAATACTACATGTGTCTTTTTCTCCATCCTTTTCCCCCCGTTTATGCTTTTCTTTCTCCTTTCCTCCTCTCACTAGTGTTTTGCTTTTGACCACCTCCTCCTTCAGTCCCTCCTCCCTTCTATTAGCCCTTTCCCTTTTTTTCTCCTTTACCCTTACTGCTTCTTCCCTCCCTCCTATTTCCCCTCCCTTTTCTTTCCCCTTTTCCTTCCTACTGCCTATAGGGCAAGTTAGATTTGTATACCTAACTGATTATTCCCTTCTTGAGCCAAATCTGATGAGAGTAAGGTTCAAACAGTGCTCATCACCCTCCCTTCTTTCCCTCTGCTGTAATAGGATTTCGTGTCTTTTCCTGCAATGTAATTTACTCTTGTCTGCCTCCTCCTTTCTCAGTACATTTTCTTAGATCAGACTAATCCACTTACTTGGATCCATTTAATCCACTTGATTAGATTTTTTTTATCGTTACATCAAAGTCAACTTACATCCACCCCTTTTATTTTATACTCCTTTAACACGGTGTAATAACAATACAATTCTCAAGAGTTGCAAGTGTCGTCATCCCTTGTAGGGATGTAGACAGTTTGCCCTTATTAACAACATACTGTATCTTCCTGTCCCATTTACCTTTTAATGTCTCTCTTGAATCTTGTATTTGAAGATCAATTTTTTTGTCGAGCTCTGGTCTTTTTATCAGAAAGGTTTGGAAGTCCCCTATTTCATTGAATATCCACCTCCTCCCTTGAAATATCATGCTCATTTTTGCAGGGTAGTTGATCCTTGGCTGCAATCCAAGCTCCTTTGCCTTACAGAATATCGTGTTCCACGCCCTGCGGTCTTTTAACATAGAAACTAAAAGGTCCTGTGTAATCCTGACTGTGGTTCCATGATATTTAAATTGCTTTTTTCTGGCTGCTTGCAGTATTTTCTCTTTCATCTGGTAATTTTGGAATTTTGCTATTATATTTCTTGGGGTTTTCAATTTGGAATCTCTTTCAGGTGGTGAGAGGTGGATTCTTCCTATGGTTATTTTACCTTCTTTTTCCAGGACTTCAGGGCAGTTTTCCTTTATGATTTCCTGAAAGATACTGTCCAGACTCTTTTTTTGTCATGATTTTCAAGTAGTCCAATAATTTTTAAGTTGTCTCTCTTGGATCAATTTTCCAGGTCAGTTGTTTTACCAATGAGGTATTTTACATTTTCATTTATTTTTTCATTTTTTTGTTTCTGTTTGACTGATTCTTGCTGTCTCATAGAGTCATTAGTTTTCATTTGTCCAGTTCTAATTTTTAACAGATTCTTTTCTTCTGTTACCTTTTGTACTTCCTTCTCCAATTGGCCAATTGTATTTTTGAGGGATTTGTTTTCTTCAGCATGCTTTTTTGATAAACTTAACCCTTCCCAGCAATACAAGGATCTAAGATATCTCCAGAGGCCTCATGATGGAAAATACTATCCACATCAGAAGAAAAAACTATAGAAGTTGAATTGTTATTTTTTTTCTCTCCTGTTGAGTTTTGTTTCGTCTTTCTGATAGTTCCTCCTATTGGTTTTAATTTGTACTTACAACACCACTAATTTGAAAATATGTTTAATAGGAATGTAAATGTATATGCTATATCAGATTGTGTGCCATCTTGGGGAGGGTGGTGAGTATGAAGGGGGAGAAAAATTTTGAACTCAAAAGGATATAGAAGGGATTATTGATAAATCAAAATAAATTAATGAAATTTTAAAAAAGAAAAAGAAAAAAGGGGGAAAAAACCAACTACCCTGGTCATATGACCAGTTCTGAATCTATCTAATGTGATCTCATCTAATGCATGTCTCTCCATCTTCTCCTCAGGAGCAGGATGAGACACTTTATCAAGAGCTTTTTTAAAAATTGAGATACGGGGGTGGCAGAGTGGATAGAGTGCTAGCACTGAAATCAGGAGGACCTGAATTCAAATCTGGCCTCAGACATTTGCTAGCTGTATAACCCTGGGCAAGTTATTTAAATCCAATTGTCTCCCCCTCCTCAGCAAAAAATAAAAACCCACCAAATTGACACAAACTCTCTCTACCGCATTCCTCTTATCTACTACTTCAGTAATCCTGTCCAAAAAGGAAAGCCTATGAGGTTAATCAGGCATGCCTTGCTCTTGATGACTCCACCATCATGGCCCTTTGTAACCATCATTCCCCCTTCTCAATAGTCACCAAGAATCTTTTCAATAAGTAGAAAATGTTCATTGTATGGACTTTAAAAAAAAAAGGGGGTTACTGAGTGAAGGAGGCACAGGGAGAGCCTGGAGGCGACAATGGTGATACAGGACTACTGTGACTCCCTTTCTAGAGTCTGATAAGGAGAGTGAAAGAAGATCCTGGGAAGGACAGCACAGACAGCACTGTCATAGGTTATGTCAGGGAGAACACCAGACAGAGACAATCTCCCTGACAGTTCTGCTGGGGGATCTGCTCTACTGAATCTCTCCTCCTTCCCACTTCCTGCAGAAACAGCAGTGGCTGCTTCTTCATCCCCAGATGCTCTTTCCTACCTGACTACTGTGGGTAGGAGCTCAGTGGAATAGACACCGTTACAGGAAACAGAGACCATAACACAACTGACTGCCAGCATTGCCAAAACCACACGCAAAATTTCTATAACCAAAAGACAAAAAAAAATAGTCCTCAATAAACCAGAGTTCAACACATCTTGGAGCATTGATTTGTTCATTCATTTATCCATTGTTTCATTCAACCAATCCATTCATTTATTCATCCATGCATTCATACCTTTTATTGACTGACCCATTCATTCACTTATCTTAATAGTATTTATTATTAGAGGCAGTTAGGTAGTGTAGGGATACATATTAGGGAGTCAGGAAGATCTGAGTTCTTAAACTTATTGTGGGTGACTCTAAGCAAATTATTCAACCTGTCTCAGCCTTAGTTTCCTCATCTGTAAAATGGGAATCTTGGCATCTGCCTTCCAGGGTTGTTGTAAGGAACAAATGAGATAATACATGCAAAGCAATTTGCAAACCTTAATGTGCTCTATAAATGGCAACTATCATTTGTTTGTTTCGTCTAGCAAAGAAAAAATAATAATTATGCCTTTACTGTGTGTAAGGCTCTGTGCTAAGTGTAAAGATGAATTCAAATGGATCCTGCCTTTAAGAAACTCAGTAAACCTAAATTCAAGTCACATGGCAGCTATTTAGTCATGATTATCCCAATCAATTATTTGTCTATCTCCCCCTCTCTCCATCTCTCCATCTCTCCATCTATTTATCTATCTATCCATCCAACAATCCACATATCCACCCATTTATTCATATAACCAACTTTCCATCCACCTATCCATCTGTCTGTCTATCTATCCATCCTTACATCCATCTATCTATCCATTGATCCATCCATGAATCTACCTATCCATCTATCCCTCTATCTATCCATCCATCCATCTATCTCTCATTCCTATTTTCCTACTCATCTATCCTGTCCTGGGTTTGAGTCCTGGCTCGGTCATTTATTCACTCTGCACCTCTGGGCAAGTTGGTTCTCCTATGTGAGCTTGTTTCCTTTTCTTCAAAATGAGAAAGCTGAGGAGGTACCACGGCATAGAGTGATGTCTTTGGAGACAAAACACCCGAGTTCAAATCCCACCTCTCAGGCTCACTACTTGTGGGGCTTTAAATAAGTCATTTCAATTTCCTGGGCCTCCGTTTCCTCATCTGTAAAAATGGAATTTGGATCAGATGGCCTCTGAGGTCTCTTCCAGCTCTAGATCTATGATCATATCACTCTGGGGTCTCTCTTGAAAGGTCCTTATGGTCTTAACAGTCAATAGGTCTAGGGATTGGCCCTATGATTTTATCCTTACCTGATGTAGAGGGAACACCCAGGTAAAGAAATTCAACTTACCAACTCAGATTGGCCTTCTCTCTGCAATTTAGTCTGATAGTGGTCTAGAGCACTGAGGAGTTCAGTGACTTGCCCAGGGTCACACAGACAGTATGTGTGAGGCATTTACTCTATCTCCAACACTGTGCTAAACCCTGGGGATACAAAGAAAGGCAAGAGCATGGTCCTTGCCCATAAGGAGCTCCTGTTCTAATAGGAGACACAACAAGGAAACAACTGTGTATATACAGGGGCATGCAATGTAAATGGGGGAACTGATCAGCTTTGAGAGCAGATCTCCATCTCCTTGGCCTCTAGGGTCCCAACACTCAAGGAGCCCGTAGTGACCATTCATTCCTACCCCAAGAGCTTTGTGCTGTATGTTACAGGGTATAACAAAGGGCACCAGAGTACATCCTTTCCCTGTATAGTCCCTTGGCAGAATCAAGACCCCAAGTCCCAGATTCATTTCAGTGACCTATGCTGTGAAGTGGTAGGGGGAGGGGGAGGTCTGCTCAGCTCAGCAAGGCCACAACCAAGCCAGCTTGGGGGATGGGCAAGGAGCTTCTCCCCAAAGATGATACTGATGATGATGGTGATGATGATGATGATGATGGTGGTGGTGATGATAATGATAGCATATGTAATGTTTATATAGACCCCACTATGTGCCAGGCACTGAGATAAGCATTTGCAAATATTATATGACAAGAACCCTAAGAGGTAAGTGCTATTATTATCCCTATTTAAAGAGAAGGAAATGGAGGCAGGCAGAGGTTAAGTAATATGCCCAGGGTCACCCAGCTAGAAAGAATCTGTGTCTGGATTTGAACTCAGGTTATCCTGACTCCAGGCCCAGGGCTCTATGCACTGGGCCACCTAGCTGCCTCTGATCATATGTTCTCCCACTCCCCCTTTCCCGCTTTCCTCAAAGGCTGCTCTCTTACCTTGAGGCAGAAATGCACTGCCAGATATGAATACTCCGGTAAGAAAGAGGCAGGCCACTGCTATTGTTCGACGGCCAAAGCGGTTCATGAGGAACACGGCCCCAAACCTGGTTAGGAAGGCAGAACCTCCCAATAAAACTTGGAGTGCTTGAATATTGTGCCCCAGGTTCTGAAGATCCAGAGAGAGCCCATAGAAAAGCATCCCTGTTGTGAGACTACAGCAGAGAGTGAGAGAAGCAGAGAGAATTCATCACACTTGGAGGCCAGAGCTCACCATTAAATGCAGTTCAGTTCAACAAGCCATGATTAAACACCTGTTGGGTGCCGGGGTCTATATTAGGTATTAGGGACACCAAGCCACAGGGAGTCCATATTCTGCTGAGGGTGACAATGCTCCTTGAGTACAATTAAGTCAATCCCAGATAAATTTAGGAGGGCAAGAGGATCACCAAGTGGGGTGACCAGAAGAGGCTTCAGTAGGAGCTGGTGCCCAGGGCTGAGCCTCGAAGGCAGCCAAGGATTCCAGAAGACAAAGGTGAGGAGAGGGTGAGTTCTAGGCTTGAGGAACCTCACATACAAAGACAGAGAGTGGGAGATGGACTCCCTAGTTCAGCAAACATCAAGCCATTTGTGGTTGCAATGTAGAGATGCTGAAGGGTGATAATGATATACACGTCTGCAAATGCAGCCTGGAGCCAGATTGTGGAGAGCTCTCCGTGCCAGCACCAGAAGTGCAGGGTCAATCCACTAGGGGGCAGTAGCCTAAGCTCTTATGGGGATGTATGGACAAAGCAGATGTTAGGAGCATTAACGAACCTTAAATGTATATTTAGAAATTTAACTAATTATATTAACTCCCTTATCTTTTAGCCACAAATAACGATCAGCTAAGGTCCCAAATTAAAGTGACAACGCTGCTGACAGAACACAGTAGGAGATGACCATGAAGTAACCAAAGATTTCACAGTCATTCAGTAACAGTCACAGAATCCAGGAGGATTAGCACCATTTGGATAAGAATTAACGCAGGGAACAACACAACTGATGTTATCATAGGGTTTTACTATACACCAGTTGGGCAGAGGGAAAAATTGGATGAGGAGTTTGGCAAATTAGTAACAAACCAGGTGCACTGGAGCAAGATAGTACAGTGGTAAGAACCTTCAATCATCCAAATAAATGTTGCAGCTCACTCTGCTCTGTATAGAGCACCAGGTCTAGAGTTAGGAAGACCTGAGTTCAAATCTGGCCTCAGACGCTTATGGGATGTGTGACCTTGGGCAAGTCACTTCACCTATTGGCCTCAGTTTCCTCATCTGTAAAAGGAGCTGGAGAAGGAAATGGCCAGTACCTTTGCCAACAAAACTCCAAATGGGAGTCACTAAGGTGGACGTGACTGAAACAACTATACAGCAACATAATGGTTTGAGCTGTCTGAAAGGAGAATGAATCACCTACCAGAGATAGTGGACTCCTTCTCATTGGAGGTTTTTAGTCAGAAGCTGGATCACTGTAATGGGGCTAAGGTGAGGGAATACCAGTGAATGAACTTTTAATATTGAGGTTGAATTAGATGGCCTTCAAAGGCCTTTCCAACTCTAAGGTTCTACAGTTGTGGGAATGACAGATAAAAGATTTGAGCTGGGCCCCTTCTTTTCTCCTGCCTAAATACTGTGTCAACCTGAGACTTTTGGAGGGGGTACCTGCAGGCTTTCACATTTCTTATACACTGTAGGGAACCTACCCTGCAAAGCACAAACAGAGGATTCTTGTATGCAGGATGGGAAAGTGGACCAAATCCAACATGGTGTAACGGGTCTCTGCTGGAGCCATCTCTGTCTTCACGGCTGATCTCAAAGCCTTTAGGGAGAAGAGCCAAGCACAGAGTCAATCTGAAGGTTAGAGTATGCATGAACAGAAGGAAGAAGCAGGAAGGATTGGGCTGGTAATAGATTCTAGGCACTGATTGGGACCAAATGAGAACTCATTGGCTATGACCTCGAAGCCTTATTAAACCTTTCTTTTCCGTAATGACAAGCTGTGTAACATCATGCCCAGTGGAGCCATGCCTGTGACCACAGCACCAGAAGATTCACTCTGAGAGCCCTCAGGTCATGCAAGATCAGCAGAGATAACAGGCTGTGCCCTGTCTGTCACTACAGCAGGAGGGGTGCACACCTGGGCCCCATATCTCCTCTGTGGGTGCTCCTCTATGGAACTACTGACATCCAGCTTAGAAATAAACATAGCACTCCACGCAACATCAATGCATTTTGAGAAAACTTTAATCAAAATACATCACAGTACTATCTGAATCTGATGGCTAAATGCTTTTTCAGAACTAAGTCAACTCTAACATACATGCATCATATAAGGTAACAATCAACAGAAGGGAAAATGTCAGCATTGGCACTGCCTCTGGAGTCACAAACCCTGGCTTCAAGTCTTGCCATTGATACTCCTGGTATAGAAGAAGCAAGTCTCTTCACCTTCCCGTGCCTGAGGGTTCTCGTTTGTGAGATAAGGGGGCTGAATTAGAAAGCCTCTGAGGTCCCTTCCACCTTCATCTATGATTGCCTGCTCCCTGAACATGTCCTGATCTCACACATTCCCTCTTTGTGTTCCTCTCCACGCACTTGCAGTAGAGCAGAGAGAATGCTGACTCTGGAGCCTGCATATCTGGGTTCAGATCCCTCCGTTAATACTGGTGTGAACTTGTGCAAGTCACTTAATACCACTCTGGACCTCATGGAATCTCCATAGAATGAGGGGGTTGGACTACGTGACCTATAGACCTCCTATGTGGGGATTTTGTATTGTCTTATGTTCCCTGCACATGTCCACTCTACATGTTGATGCTGTATAGTATGATTGCTCAAAGTGTTCTCCAGGTTTATGGGGAAAATATCAATACTTTCTTTATATGCTGCTTCCTTAAATTCCTTTGCTTTATGTTGTGTTCTTTGGCTGAACAATAAAGGCAACCATACCAGTAGGGGCTCATGAGATATTGTTTGGAGACGATGTAGCTCCACAGAGAGAACACCATGCTTCTCTTGTTTTCCCCTCCTCCTTGCAGCAGGACAGAAGGCTGAGGATTTCACTAGGACAGAGGGCACTTCAGGTTGCTATGTGTTCTATCCCCATTGCCTTCAGGGGCTGGCTTCAGTGCCTACCTTGTGCTCCTGTAGGTTACCAGAGCACAAATCATGAAAGTCATTTCATACAAATTTCATTAAGACTCTTTTCCTAAATTTGCCATGTGTGAGTGGGTTACCCTTGGTAGCCTTGGCCACAGTCAAGGCTACTCTGGGGGCCAGAGAGAGACAGAGAGTATGCACTTATTATCACTGTGTGGCAATCACTGCGCTAAGTGCTTTACATGTATGATCTCATTTAATCTTTGTTATTTAATTGTCTCATTGACCATTTTATGTTGTCTCCTTATGGAATGGCATGGCTACAGTTAAACCACTGAGCAAAGAAAGAAATGAGAAGGAAAAACAGAAACAACATGCAGGAAGGAATGCAGGGAATGGAGTTTGAGACAGGAAGGGAGGGGGGCAGAGGACTGGAGGGACCCTCTTAAACCAGAGAGAAGAACAGAGACTTCTCCCTCCCCTCTCCTCCACCAGGGGATCCTTACTCCTTCCCATAGTTCAAGTACCTCTTCCCCCAGTCTGGTTTCCCTATCTGACATAGCAAGGAAACCCCAAGGATTGATGTCTTCAAAAGGCAAATTCACTATGGCCTGAGATGACCCTCAATCACTAGATCCGTATTCTTGTCCACTATGGATTAAAGTATCCACTCCAATCCCTTACCTATTCCCTTGCCCACTGAGAGTTGGAGAAACATCATCAGAGATGGAACTTTTCTCTTGGCAGGCCCCTGGCTACGGGGCTCGACCTGAAAAGCCACCATTTCCCACATCCCAGACCTGACTCCTCCTTCCCTTCTCACCTCTATAGTCAGGGTCGTCTCCTTTAATCCATTGATTTTTGCAACTTTTCTGAGCACCTTTAGGGCCTCATCATATTTGTTTTGGACAATTAGCCATCCAGCAGACTCTGGCAACCACCTAATTAAATAGTGCATGAGAGATATAGTTAATTCCCCATTTTCTCCTTATTCAAAATCACACTTGTGTGGAGCAGAGCTTAGGTTCTTCCTATCATTATTAATTTACAACTAATTACTTTGTATCATTTAACATACAAAAGAGAGTTTGTGGGTAAAGCTTTCATTCCCAATTATCCTATGCCATAGACCTCTAACAGGATGGCCACAGTTACTGATCAGCTGGAGCCCTTCTTGATTTTTTCCCCTTTGATAAAAGTTTTTTAAATGAGTCATGACAGATGTTTGCTTTTGGCTCAAATCTGTCCTCTCAATAGATGATCACATAGACCTATCAGGAAAATCTTCTAAAATTGTCTATAGATTGGATAACATTTAAGTCATCTTTTCATTGCCTGAAGCTCTAAGTGGGAGCAAATCTCCTCCTTCTCTATCCCATGGGAACAATTCAGCAAGAATTCCATTTTTCTATAAGCAATGCAAATTCAGAGAGGAGACATACTATTTTGGATATGTCTTAAATCATTGCCCAGGAAATAGACATTTCCATTCATCCTAAGTGAAGCTTATCTGATTTTTTCTATTAGAAATGTTTTGTTTCCTTGATTTCAGGCTTTCCTCTAAACCCTCTCCATTCCTTTATCATGCTAATAAAAGAAAATAATAAATAAATACAACAGGTCTAGCATCCACTTGTCACAATCACCAGGTTAAACAAATGCCTCCTGAATTGATCTAACATATCTTGCCCACAGTCTTTATTAGAAAGCTTAACTATGTGTGTAATAACCACCTTTAACATTGTAAAAACAAATTTCTTTCTACACCATCCACTGAGAGCATCAGAGCAGAGGACTCTCCCTGGGAATGTGCGATCATTGGTGCTGAGGCAGAGCCATTTTAAGAATTCTCTAACAAATTTTTATATCTATATGAGTTGAAAGTCCCCTTGGCAATAAGACATAACTTCAAACAACTTAGAAATAAGACTATTCTAATTTCTAGAATATTGATATTAGAGCATAGACCATTCGACTCACTTCATACACATTTCATTAGGGCTGTATTTCTAAATGATGACTCCAAGCCCTGAGTCACGCACAGTAACATAGTCATACAATAAGACTTTCCTAATCTTGCGTCAAGGAAAGCTGTGCCGTATTGCATTAATATCCATTAATAGATCTGCTTGATTACTAACTGTTCCTCAGGTGATAGGAAGTTCTCCTGACAAGCAGGCAAGACCTCAAGGCTCCAACACCAGGACCAAAGTCACTGCCTTAGGCTCTGACATTGAATGATTTTCAGAGTGGAAAGCCAAGTGGAAGATTCAGGCTTAATTCTCATACAGAGACAGAGAACTAAAAGAGCCTGTTAAAGGTAAACCATTTTCAAAATGCTCTAAATCACTATTGATTAGAGAAATGCAAATCAAAACAACTCTGAGGTGCCACATCACACCTACCAGATTGGTCAACATGACAAAACAGGAAAATGATAAATGTTGGAGAAGATGTGGAAAAATTGGAACACTAATGCATTGTTGGTGGAGTTGTGAAATGATTCAACCAATTTGAAGAGAAATTTGGAACTATGCCCAAATGGCTATAAAAATGCGCATACCCTTGGACCCAGCAATAGCACTTCTAGGGCTATGTGAGAAAACAACTCACACATACAAAAATATTTATAGCGGCTCTTTTTGTGGTGGCAAAGAATTGGAGATTGAGAAGGGGTGCATTAATTGGGGAATGGCTGAACAGGTTGTGGTATATGATTGTAATGGAATACTATTGCACTATAAGAAATGATGAACAGGCAGACTTCAGAAAAACCTGCAAAGACTTGTGCGGTCTGATGCTGAGTGAAATGAGCAGAACCAGGACAACGCTGTACACAGTAACAGCCACTTTGTGTGATGACTAATATTGGTAGGCTTCTTCTCAGCAATACAAGGATCTAAGACATCTCCAAAGGCCTCATAATGGAAAATGCTCTCCACATCCAAAGAATGAACTGTGGAGTTTGAATGCAGACCGAAGCATACTATTTGCTATTTTTTTACTTCTGTTGTGTTTTGTTTCTTCTCTCTGATAGTTCCTCCTGTTGGTTCTAATTCCTACTTACAGCATCACTAACGTGAAAATATGTTTAATAGGAATGTCTATGTAGAGCCTATATCAGGTTGCGTGCTGTCTTGGAGAGGGAGGTGAGGAGAGAGGGGGAGAAAAATTTAAAACTCAAAAGCTTATGGAAATCATTGTTTATAAATCAAAATAAATTAGTTTAAAAAAAAATAAAAAGTAAGCCATTTCCAGGACTTCAGTGCTGCTCTTTGCAGGCTCTGTCAACTTGGCCAAAGTTTTCTCTTTTGAATGGTGAGCTTTCACCACTCATTGGTTTTGCCTATTTTTTCATAGCCTCCTATGCCAGCATCGTAATCTGTTCGATCTTCATCTTGTACCTGGCCCCCGATCTTCCCCGTGTGTCCTGTCTGCCCTCTTAGGAACCAGCATCCTCATCTGAACAGATGATTCCATTCTCCCAGTGAGTTCCATTAAAGTACATCCTGGCATTTGCAGCATGTGCTCTGCAGTAGAGTTCAAAAACCAGACTCCACATGCTGTTTTCTGTACTCTCTCCATGCCCATGATAATTTCCTCTGTGTCACCGCTCTTGCTCAAAGATTTCATAGACCTGTTTCTCAGCCGTGTAAAAGGAGAGTTTCCCAGCGTACAAGGTGCAGCATTTCTTCAATAACTTCTCTTAGTTTTGTCACTCTACAAGTGCTGGGTGAGGTACTGGTCCCACTGCGTGTAGGAGTCGCTGTCCAGCACGATCAGGAGCCCACTTGACGCAGAAAGTAGGAAAGTGAGGCAGGAGTGCTTGAAGGTGGGCGACAATACTAGGACCCACAGCTAGAGTTCCAACCCAGACCTTCTTACTCTAAATCCTGTCGCCTTTCTGTCCATGCAAAATAGAGATAAAGACTGAACCTATCATTTCACTGGAATAGGAAACTCCCAGGAGGTGAAAATCTCTCTTTCATTGCAATTTTGTCTTAGCAGGTTCAGCTAGAGCATTGACAAGTATAGTGACTTGCCCAAAGTCACACCAATACTTTGGGTTAGAGACAGGACCATCTTTTATATATACTCACTTATGTACCTATTAGCTCCTCTGGTAGTATTACCTCCTTGATGGCTGGGCCTGTTAATTTGGGTATTTGTGTCCCCAGCCTAGTGTACTGCTCAGCATCTATAATAAAAGCTCAGTGATTTATTGGATGTTACAAAGTATGATACAGATCTGGGTTGGGAAAAAGGAAGTGACATTAAAAATGAAATGCATCAACCAAACTTATTTTTAAAAGAAGAAAATGGAGAAAAGACCTCAATTGCATGTTTCCCTGAGATTCCTAGCTCTCCTAACACTCATTCACCCCCTAAAGGTGCTTTTTCTGACCTTCTGGTCCTGTCTCCATTCATTAAAAAACCCAAATGGGGGCAGGTAGGTGGTACAGAGGAGAGAGCACTGACTCTGAAGTCAAGAAGACCTGGGTTCAAATCCAGCCTCAGACACATGACACTCAATAGGTGTGTGACCCTGGGCAAGTCACAAGTTAACCCCATTGCCTAGCAAAAAAAAAAATTTCCAAAATCTTTTCAGCCCTTCTACTGCACGCCACCAGTGTTGTGTCCACGAATATGTATTTTCCAATTGCCTGCAGAGTAGAAATGGAATTCGTTTTCAAAATCTGTATGAATGAAAGTTCTCTTTGAAATCAAGCCCTAACTTCTTTAACATCGCTTTGCTACCCAGGATGCTATACAAAATTCAGACTGCCACAATATCTTAAGAATTGACATTGCGAGTCCCTTAGAGAGCTGTGGAGAAATTTATGGCGAGCACAAGCTAAAGAACTGGTCCAAAAGGTATCCCTAGAAAAGTTACGTGGCATAAGTGAAGCTGTGGGCAGCCTGCACCATGCTTGGGTACCACCATCATGCCGACATGCTGCCAGAGGGCAAGTCCTCCAGTGGTCTTTATGGGCAGCCTTCAAAGGATTCATGAGAGGTCGCTCTTACAGACAGCACAGAAATTTTAACTGTTTCTTTAACAGAGGAGAAAGTAACATGAAAGAACAATTACAGCGTCATCCTAAGAAGTGGAGTCAGGGAGAGAGTAATATATCAGTGTAGTTTTGATCTGTGAGAGAAACTACGAGGAGGCAGAAACAAAACTTGGAGAAATTACTGTCTTGGTGAGCTTGGTTCAACGGTTATTTTATGAAGAAGCGCTAGAAAGGTAATTTGTTGAAGAGTGAGTCTAGAGAAAAACTATGAAGTAGGAGAGTTTGAGAAAAGTTGAAGAGACTGTTTTCCCATCATAGCTGGAGAGAAGCTGGAGAAGACAGAAAGGTGGTGGAGAGGCCTTTGGGGGGAGTAATTCTTTTAACTTTGTCTTCAATAAATTGATACGTACTTATTATATGTTTACTATGTGCCAAGCTACTTATGAGATTGAGATAGGAGAGAGAGGGGGGGAGAGAGAGAGAGAGAGAGAGAGAGAGAGAGAGAGAGAGAGAGAGAGAGAGACGGAGAGAGAGAGAGAGACAGAGAGAGAGACAGAGAGACAGAGAGACAGAGAGAGAGAGAGACAGAGAGAGAGAGACAGACAGAGACAGAGAGAGAGAGACAGAGAGAGAGAGAGAGAGAGAGAGAGAGAGAGAGAGAGAGAGAGAGAGAGAGAGAGATTGTAACCAAACAAGGGCTAGATAAAATCATTTGAAATATATATATGTATTTGTTTTAGTTACATATAATTCAAAAGCTTTTGCACAAAGTCAATCCAACTGCAATAAAAGCAGTTGCTGCCAATGAGGAAAACAATCTTCATAACAATTATCTCTGTTATCCAGATCCATGTGTTTGTTCTCATTCCTCTGTTATCCACAGCATATATGCAATTGATACAAACATAAGAACAAGAGCTATTCCCCAATGGACACATGGTAAAAGGATGTGAACAGGCAATTTTCCTGCTGGGAATGTTGGACAAGGGATGCTTCTTTAGGTTTAGATTATACTCAGTTGCCCCTGGGGGTCTTTCCAGTTCTCAGATTCTGTCTTGGGAGGAGCTTCCTTTAACAACCAAGGAATCTTGATGCCTAGACCTCTGTTTATAGATTTGGCGATTTAGCCAACAAGCATTTATTAAGTGCTTACTCTTTACCAAGTACTGTGCTTAGCAGTGGGGATACAAAGCATAGCCTTTCAGAGCAGAAAAGGGCCTCAATAGTGATTCAGTCCAACCTGTATCTGAGGAGGAATCATTTCTCCAACACTGCCAACATAAAATTATCCAACCTCTGCTTGAAATCCCCCATGGATGGGCATCCCATCTCTAAGCTAAACATGATCAGAGAGGACATTAAAACATGGTATGACAGACCTGAGAACATTGTTAAAAAGCATGTGACCACGTGGCCTGTGCCATCTAGGTCTCCCAACATTTATAACCTACATCAGAATAGAAGTTAAATTTCAAGTTAAATTTCCCTGAATCTAGAATTCAATATTTCTTCTTCCTGTCACCTAATCTCCCAAAGGAAATGGTACAGAGCTCCTTAAACATATCACTTTCCAGGACAGAACAACCAGAGGGCTATTCAAATCCAGGTTGAGAAGAATTTCTTAAGTTCCTAATATGTGCTAGGTTTTGTACTAGTGCTGAGGATACAAAGATCAAAATGAAACAGCCCCTGCCTACAAGGAGCTTACATTCTACCAGAGGGACAGGAAGTGTGCACAAACCAGTAACCCAACATCTAGACCAAATGAGACAAGGGAACTGGGAGAGAACGTCTTTCTTAATGACTGGAGTTCAGCTGTTTCTAGTACCATGGCAAGAGCCTTAGGGGACAGCAGGAACAGAGTGGTTTCTTTTTCATTTTTTGTTGTTGCCCTTACTGTGCCTTTTTATTTTCTATTTGATTTTTTCCCCAATTAAATGTAAAGAACAAATTTTAACATGTGCTTCTTTAATAGTTTGAGTTGTAAATTCTCTCCTTCTCTCCTTTCTTTCATCATTGAGAAGGCAAGCAGTTTGTTATGGATTATATATGTGCAGTCATGCACATCATATTTCCATATTACACATATTGTAAAAGAAAAACTGATCAAAAGAAAACTCCTGAGAAAAATAAAGAAAGTTTTAAAGAAAACCAGGATGCTTTGATCTGCATTGAAACTCCATCAATTACTTCTCTGGGGATGGTGGGATACCCTTTCCCACAAGTACTTGACAGCCCAGGGAGAAATGGGCTCCAGCATGGAGAGCATATGTAGTAAAGGAGGAATTAAATGTTCTCCTCTTCATGGGCTGCTTAAGATCTCCTTAGGCTGAGTGTAATTTCCTTCTGGGATCTTTGAGGGCTATGAATCTGCATGCTGTCTGCATTTGGCTCCTGAGCCCCATGACTTAACTGCCAGCAAGCTGGTCCAGGGACACTGGAAGGGTGCTGACGGGGAGATGGGAAGTCCTCCAGATGACTGGTGAGAAAGGTCCTCCTCACTATGCCCAAACAGCTATAAAACCATGCATGCCCTTTGACCTGACAGTACTACTAATGGTCTGTATCCGAAAAGAGATAAAAAACAAAAGAGGAAGGGACCTATCTGTACAGAAATATTTATAGCTGCTCTTTTTTGGTGACAGGGAGTTGGAAATTGAGGAGACGCCCATCAATTGGGGAGTGGAGTGCTACGTGGTTGTGATATTGTCCTATAGGAAATAATGAGCAGGTTGCTTTCAGAAACACCTGGATTTACATGAGCTGATGCAAAGTGGAATGTACTGTGTAGAAAATAACAGCAATATTGTAAGATGATCAACTATGACGGATTTACTATTAACAGCAATACAATGATCCAAGAGAACTCTGAAGGACTGAAGATGAAAAATGGTATCCATCCCCAAAGAACTGACGGTGTCTGAATACAGGTTGAAGCACACTTTTTCACCTTCTTTATTTTTCTTGAATTTTTTTGTCTGTGTTTTCTTTCACAACATGACTAATATGGAAATATATTTTGCATAACTACACATACATAATCTATATCAAATTGCTTTCCTTCAAGCAGGGTGGTGCCAAGGGAGGAAAGGAGTTTGGAAGTCCAAGTTTTAAAAATGAATGTTAAAAATTGTTTTTACATGTAGCTGGGGAAAATAAAATATGAAATAAATTTATCAAAAGAAAAGAAAGAAAAGTCCTCCTCAGCACCTCAGGGGATTGGGGGGTGAGGAGAATGGAAGGAAAAAGCAGGGGCAGGCCAAGGCCAAGGCCCTTCCCTCTCACGAGGTTTAGCTGGAACACTCAAGGCCTATAGACTCAGAACTGGCTTGAGATTTCATAGATGAGCCCAAGGATGGACCTAGTTTCCTTAGCCAATCTGGACACTCTTCCTGTACTATGTCTCTTCCATTTCATCCAATGGCTCATCAGAGACAGCGTAATTGATCAAGGTCTTTTCACATTAAGTTGGAATCCAAATGATTGATTTGGTTAAATGGGGACTCCTTCCCAACTAGTTAAGTTATGATGGCCTAGTGTTTTATCACTCACTTTAGGAGGGATAGGTGGGGGCAATTACTCAATGAACTCCCTCACCCTTTTACACACACACACACACACACACCCCCCATGCTTTTATTTATAATCGCTAGATATGCATGCTACATTACCTTCCTTCCTTTTTATCTTCCTTTCATCCTTCCTTTCTTTCCTCCTAGTACTCACCAAGAAACTACTGTCTGCCTTCTTAAGGGAGAGTTTAATTATTTTTATTATCGGGCATCATGACGTCACACGCTTACGCATCTAAAGGAGATATTGTCTCGTGCGCTCTGAGCGCACTCGTAACTTTCTTGACATGGGCCTCATGGAGATTACCATGAGTTTTATAGTAACTGATCCTCACAGCAACTCAGGGAGGGAGATATGGTCACTCAACCCATTTTGCAGATGAGAAAACTGAAACCCAGAGAGGTTCAGTGGCCTCCTCAGGGTCTCACAACTAGCAAATATCTGAGGCAGGATAAGAAGTGGAATATTCCTGACTCCAAGCCTGGGATTCTTCACCCTCCATCTGCCGTCTCTCAGAGAGAGAACAAGAGCCTGGGGGCACTTACCAAGCGGCCAGGAAGAGGGCGAAGAAGGGAGCAGACGTCACCACCTGGAGTTTGCGCCGTTCCTGGATGCCATAAGCCACAAGCCCAAGGAGCGGATGGCCCAGGCTGAAGTACAGGGAGAAAATGACTGTGACCAGGGGCCGGTGCTGGCTGGTGGTCCATTCCTGGACTGAAAAGAAACCATAGCACAGCATTAATTTCAGACGGAGGAGGGATCTCAAAGAACAAATGTAAGCGTTGAAGAAGTCTCACAACGAAGACTTACTGAGTGATCCGCTGCCAAGTATGGCTCCTGGTACTGCAGACCCAACCAGGAAGCGAAAACAACAGTAAACTGGGAATGACTGGACCAAGGCAGTGCTGGTGCTGGAGACAGCTGTCAGGAGGTAACTTGGAAGCAGCATCCTTTTTCGCCCAAACCTACATCATGGGAAGCCATATGGGTGTGACCTCAGGGCTGAGGCATAAAGTCATCTCTCCACCCAGCGCACCCCTGCTAACCTTCTGGACTTCAGGCCTCATCATTCACCCTGTCCCCACGTGCTTTCCTTTGCCAGGCCCCGAGGTACAGATGCCAGTAGTGACTGGGCTTAGCAGAGCTTTCAGTTCAGCCAACTTCAGTTAAATTACACAACAAATTATCTATAGCTCCTACTAAGTGAAGGGTTCTCCAAGAAACTTGCTGATGTAGAGGTCATAGGTCAGAGATCTGGGTGTGGGCCTTAGGGGCCATTCAGTCCAACTTCCTCATTTTGCAGAAGAGGAAGCTGAGGCCCTGGGAGGTAAGAGACTTCAAGGTCGCCCTCGGGAGTGTCAGATACAGTATCTAAACCCAGATCCTCCTTCTTAACAATATCCTTGGTTCTTGAAGGCCATGTGTTATAGCCACCAGAAATGGCCAGCTGACCCATCTCCGAGGTGCAAGGCTCTCCAGTACCTGAAGCATCAAGCGAAAAGCCCCGAGTGACAGTTAATCTGTTCATTGTACCCATAACATGCCAGGAGGCTGGCTCTGGAGAGCTAGAAGATGGAGGTGGCGTGAGGGGGAAGAAGTGGACGGGATCAAATGTTTATTAAGCACCTACTAAATACAGGTGTTGTGCTAAGAGCTTTACAATATTATTTCACTAGATCCTCACAATAATGTTGTGGCATAGGTACTATAATTATCCCTGTTTCACAGTTGGGTAGAATGAGGCAGACAAAAATCAAGCGACTTGCCCAAGATCACACATCTAAGGCAGAATTTGAATTCAGATTTGCTTCACTCCAGGCCCAACACTCTGTCCACTGTAGCCAGGTAGCTGCCCCTGCAGCATGATCTCATCCCATGCAATGGCTTTCCCTCCTTCCAAATGGATTCTGAACCTTGTCACATCCAGGCTGCACCTTTGATTGGTTGATGCCTCAGAGGTGTTCTCACTTGATGAACACATCTGGCCATACAGCATCTCTAGGTGGGGCAGGATGACTGACTGACCATTGAATCAATCCCTGCTTTCCAGAGGAACAAGGAGGAATCACTTAATCATCCCATCCATTAAATGAGAGAGCTGTACCAGATTTCCTCCAGCAGATTTCTCCTCACCCCCACTTATCTTTAATCTCTCCTTGTCCGTTGGCTCTTCCTGTTTTCCACAAACAAACCTTAAACTTCTTTATCACGGGGATTACCACGTCTCCATAATCCTCCAAAAGTCTTCTCTTGATCCCTCTGTGCTTAATAGTTCATATCCCAGATCTTTCCTCCCTTTTCTGGCTGAACTCCTTGAGAAGGCTGACTCTAAACCAATGGGTTCCTCCATTTGCTTTCTTCTCACTCCTTTCCTCACTCTACAGTCTGCTTCTGACTTCATCATTCCAAGGAAACATTACTCCCTCCAAAGCCCCCAGTGATCTCTTCACTGCCCAATCCCATAGCCTTTTCTTCAAGCCTCATTCTCCTTGCCCTCTCTGCAGACTTTGGCATTGTTAATCATCCTCCTTGATACTCCCCCCTTTATAGGTTTTCATGACATCACTTTTTTCTGGTTCCCCTTTTCTAGTTCTACTTTTTTCTGCCTCAGTCTTATTTGCTGGATCTCCATCCATGTCATGGCCATTAACCATGGTGCCACCTGGACTGTGTCCTCTCCTCTCTATACTATCACACTTGTTGATCTCATCAGCTCCCAGGCATGATTACCTCTCTACAGATTATTCTCTGTCCTATTAGCCAGCCCTAACCTCTCTCCTGACATCCAGTGTTGCATCTCCAACTGCCCATTGGACACCTCAAACTGATATAGATGTCTTAAACTCAACATGTCCAAAATTGACCTCATTATCTATCCCCTCCAAACCTTCCCTGCTTCAAATTTCCTTATTATTCTTTTTTTAATTGTATTTGTTTTAATCAGCCACCTTTTCACACTCCCCCTTCCACTGCCCTCCTCTAACCCAGAATTAAAATCACGAGAAAAAATAAAACCTGTTTTAAACATGTATAGCCAGTCAAAACAAATTTCCACATTGTCTATATCCAAAACAAAATTTATCTCTTTCTCCAATCAGAGTCCTTTGCTTCCCTACCAGGTGGTGAGTAGCATGTTTCATCACTAGTCCTGCAGAATCCTGGTTGGTCATTGCACTGAGAAAAGGTCAGGGTGTTAGTATTCCAACACATTTATATACCATAGCTTGTTTATCCCTTCCCATGTTTATGGATCCCCCCCATTCCCACTCTTTGTCACTTCAAAAACAGCCATAAATATTTTTGTACATGAAACCAACTTCTTCCTTAATTTACATTCTGTCTACTTCCCCATCACCTCTGTCTCCCCTTTCCTGCCTTTGATGCCTACTGAGTGAAGCATATTTCTGTGCCAGACTCTGTGTCTGTGTATTGTTTTTTCTTTTGACTAATTCAGATGAATAAGTGTATGGGTTGTTCATGGAGGACTCACAATTCTGGTGAGAGGGCTTGCCAAGCCCTTTTATTTTTCTTTAACTTATTGTTTTATTTTCCCACTTACATGTAAAAACAATTTTTAACACTTTTTTTTAATTTTGAGTAACATTCTCCCTCTCTGCTTACGCTCTGTCTTTCCTGACACAGCAATATAATAGAGTTTATTGAAGATGAAGGGGTGATATCTGGAGAATAAAATTAAGGGGTGAGAGAAGATTATACTGGGAGAAAGACAAAGGGAAAGGTAGAATGGGGTAAATTATCTCACATGAAACAGACAAGAAAAGGCTTTTACACTGGAGGAGAGAAATGGGGGAAGGAGACAGGGAATGAGTGAATCTTATTCTCATTGGATTTGGCTTAAGGAGGGAATAACATGCACATTCAATTGGGTATGGAAATCTGTCTTACCTTACAGGAAAATAGGGGGAGAAGGGGACAAGAGAGCAGGGGGATGATAGAGAGGAGGGCAGATTGGGGAAGGGATAATCAGAAGCAAACACTTCTAAGGAAGGACAGGGTCAAAAGAGAGAATAGAATAAATGGGGGGTGGTATAGGATTAAGGGAAATATACTTAGTTTTTCAAAACATGACTACTATGGGGAAAAAAAAAAGAAATGCTTGACGAACTGTTGACTCTCTGACTTTTGCCCTAAGTTCAACTTATCACCAACTTGCCTATCTTATTGTGTTCTGTTTCAGCATTAGACCTATCTCAACCCAAAGTTCCAAATCTAGCCCTGATTGTTCTTCCCATTATTTTAGGCAACTGGTATTATGTAGAAACAATGCTAGACTTAAAAGTAGAGAGACCTTGGTTTGAAATCTTCTTTAAATTCTAGCTATGTGACCTTGGGCAAGTCTTTTCACTTCCATGGCCCTTGGTTTCCTCCTTCGTCAAATAAATGGGTTGGACTAAATGATCTGTAGTGTCATCTTCCAAGTTTAAGCTCTGCGGCCCTAAGCTCCCTTGGTTTTAGAAACATCTGTACCCAGGTAAAACTCACCTGTCTGAGAGATAGCCCCATATGAGATATCCCAGCAGAAACCCAGTGAGAAAGAGTGACTGAGACACGGACTTCAACGTCCAGGAGTCACACACCAGGTCCCACTGAAAGAGAAAGTGAGAGCATCAAATCTCAAAGTGAGGAAAAAGAATTTGGGGCTCAGGAATCTTGTTGTCATTATGAAGAATAAAAACTGTGATGGGAAAAAGCTTCTTGCCCCACTATGATAAGTAAAGAACACTGCCTCCATCCTACTAATGTACAGTCAAGCTTGGGACATCAATTTGAAGGCCATTTTGACCCTGTTCTTCCTGCTGCAGACATCCTTATCTTCTCCCTTCTGAAGTGTATACCCTTATCTTCTCCTCCTGCTTTCTGTAAAATTTCATTGTACCCATAGTACTTATATGTCTCACATTCTGTGTAAGGCTACTGAAGCTCTGAGCTCAATGACTTTTTCCCCCATGAATTTCAAGCATAAAAAATCTGCAGAATAATGCTCTTTGCATTGTGGGTTTGGTATTTGGCAGCAGGACCAAATCAATGAATCCTTCACTAATTTTTTTCACAAAGGGAGCTGTGAGCTGGATGGGTGGCAGAGGAAAGGGATTTGATTCTGTCATTCACCAAGGGAATCAAGTTCTAAATCAGTGTTACCTTTGAAAAGGAAAATGAAATCTTCCTGAGAATGGAAAGGGACAGCAGGAAGAACCACTTACCTCAGTCACAATGGAAGAACTGAAGACACTTTGGTCATAAACCCAGCCATCCACAAAAGGCTCCATCTCCAGCTGGCTCAGGTTTTGTGCCGTGACATTTGGCCCCAAAGGCTGCCACTGTGGCCAGAAGAATCAGCGACACTTCTCTAGTTTCCCATTGGAATCCAGGGGGATGGAAAGCTTTAGTAGGGAACTAAAATTAAGGTTCCCACTGACATTGAGCAAAGCCGAGGTATTGTCAAGGGAGTGAACCCAACACCTGTGCTCAGGGACAAAGGCAGTGAAGTTCTCCAGTAGAAAATGGCTAGCTATAAATATCATAGGGATAGCAAAAGAAAAGACCTGAAGGATCTGGAATGTTCCCTTCTCTCCAACTTCAGGTAACAGATCCTCAAAGGCCATCAGGACTGGAATGCTGGCCCCAAGAATGGACTGTCTTCAGAGAGCTACCGAGTGAAGAAAGTAGTCATTTGACTGCAACAAAACACAGGAGGTAATTTTAGACCAGTGAGGACCCCTCCCTCAGAATCTTCCTCCTCACTTTGATGGAGCAATGTAGGTAACGCAGTGTTCTCAGGTCGGTATGCAGTTGAGGATGCCAAAATACTTCAGATCATTCATGAAGAATAACTGGTACAGGCTTAGTAACTGGCTGGAAGGACACATCAGCACCAATCTTGGGCACTTAAATACCCATTCTACGGGAGCACCTATGCCCAGAGGATCCGTAGTGGAGCTCCAACCTGCATATGGATTTGATGCATATGGTGATGACTGGGAGACTCATAAAAAGAGCTCCAGATACTTCCAGGAAAAAGAAATGTTTTTATGTAAACCAGAGACAGAGTAGTGCCAGTTTTCTGGATTAAGCATAACAAAGATAAGTTTACAGACCGCATTGGTTGAATAGCAACTTCAGGTTAAAGATGGGTAGCTTTGACATGGTTGAGTTAGTTGAGAGCCAGGGGAATGCACTATAGGAAACATTGACTTATTCATAGTGGCTTAGATCCAGGGCAGTTCCAGGCAATGTGGTGGCAAGATGGCTGAGCAAGAGGTCAGGATAGACTGTGTTTGAATTCCGCCTCTGAACATTACCAACATTAAGGCAGTTGAACACTTTGAGACTCGGTTTCTTCATTTCTAAAATGGGGATGAGAATACCTGTTGCATTTGCCTCACCAGGTTGTGGTTGAGGTCAAACAGAAGGCCAGTTTAACCACCAAGGTTACCAATGATCTCTTCATGGACCTTCTCCGTCTTCATCCTCTTGACCTGTCTGAGGCATGTTGACCATGCCCTCCTTCTAAATACTGTCTCCCACCAAGGCTTTCCTGGCATAGCTCAGTCCTGGTTTCCCTCTGCTCTGTCTGATCTCTCTTTCTCAGTCTCCTTTGCTTGCACCCATGTCCTTCTCTCTTTCTGTAAAATATACCCCAGCTCTCTCTGTCTCTCTGTCTCTCTGAACTTTGTGCAGAATCTAGGTGGCTAGGGGCAGCTAGGTGGCGCAGTGAATAGAGCACTGGCCCTGAAGTCAGGAGGACCTGAGTTCAAATCTGGCCTCAGACCAAACACTTGACATTTACTAGCTGTGTGACCCTGGGCAAGTCACTTGACCCCAATTGCCTTAAAAAAAATTCTTCGGAATCTAAGTGGCTCAATGGACAGAACAGTGGATGTGGAGTCAAGAAGACCTGACTTCACAAGGAAGCCGCAGTTACTTTGTAACTGTGTGACTTTGGCAAGACACTTAACCTATGTCTGCCTCACTTTCCTTATTCCTAAAATGGGTGTAACAGTAGCATCTATTCTGAGGGTTGTTGTGAGGATCAAATGAGATCTTTTCTGCAAAGTGCTTCACAAATCTTAAAGCACTACAAAAATGATAGCTACTATTATTAGTGGTGGTATTATTATTAATTAGTAGTAGTAGTACCAGTATTATCCATCCCTTATAAATGTCCACTAATTGCTTTCTCATTCTGATGTGTGGCCAGCTCCTCACTTTGGATCCTGGCCCGTTCTTTCCTCCTGCTCCCTGTCCTCATGAGCAGGGGGGCTAGACATCCCCCTTACATACGCTATTTGGCTTGGCTGGAAGATCATGGGACAGGATGTTGTCACGTAGCCATTTCTCCCCTTGGCTTCACTGTCTGCCTTCTCTGATCGACCTTTCCTAGAAAGAAGTTCCTTAATGCCAGGTTTGTGAAATGAATGGGTGCCTATCTGCAAACACTTGGCCCCAGTCTAGCCAGCACCATCATTACTCTTTATGAGGGTGAGTCTGTTCAGGGGACCTGGGCGACGTAAGAAATGACAACATGTGAGCAATTCAGATGAAATGGAAAATTTGTATTGACCAAATGAGCAATGAAATAAACAGGGCTAGGTCAACAATACATAAAACGGGAACATGAATATAAATGACAGTGACACTGGAAGGGAGGCATGCCCAAGTAATTTCCAAAGGTCAAGTGATCCCAGACAACTAGACCCCGCGTCCATGCTTTCTATGGTGATATAGGGCCCTTTGGGGTCAGAACGTTGCTTAGGGAACCAGACATGATCATTTCGTCAGTTTTCTTGAACTCTTTTTCTGTCATATGACCTTTGCCATGTTATGATGCTAGGGGCAGTTGTGGAAAGAGCTCTCCTTTCCTTGGGGCTTCCCTCAGCCTGGGTCTCCCTCTCTGAGATGCACTTGGGGCCAATGGCTTTCTTCCCGGGCTCACCGGAATTCACTGACTCTGTCAATGAACTTGGCTGCACCTCAGAAAGGAGCGGCTGAATCTCCAGTCAGTTTACTCCCTCCCCCTTGGCCCCTTTGACATCATTAGGTCTGGTCTTACACAGACCAACTGCCCTGCACTTAGGAGACTGATTGTGACTCCTTGTATCATGACCTCTGATTCCTTCTTCTCATTTTCCAAACTTTGGACATTTGTGTATAAACCTTCGAAGCCACAGATGTTCCTACTAGGGCCTTCCTTGGATTTTGTCTGCTGTGAAGTTATGAGGGTCTCACCTGCTGGTCTTCTCCATTTTAGCTACTTATGATGGTGTCCAGCTGGGTGGATAGTCCTGGGCCCCTTCGCCCTTCCCCAGCTCTTTTAATTTAAAACCCTTTGGACAGACTCGCCAGATGTATTCTTACAGTTCTTCCTCAGTTGTCAGTTAGTCAATACACATTTTTAAAGTACTTACTACAGTGCTAAACACTGGAGATACAAAAAGCAGCAAAAGACCGTTCCTATCCTCAAGGAGCTTACAATCTAATGACACAAATGATGAACAAAAAAAATACGTACAAACAAGCTCTGTGTAGGATAAACAGGAAAGAACTAAGAGACAGGAAAGGCAGTAGAGCCCAGCGAGGTTGTACTTCATTGCACTTGAACCCTGGTCTGGGATCTGTCATACTTGTATTTAAGCCATGGTCTGGAAGTCCAAATTCCATTCTCAGACCCCTTTCTTAGCTGCTTGTTTACTTCCCAAATCTATTTTTATCTCCTGCATGCCTTCCCCTTACAAAATAGGTAGACCAGAGGAAGTTCCTGATCAAACTGAGTTTTCCTGAAGAACCTAATGACTTTGATTTGAATAGTTTCCTAAACAGTCTGAGAGCATCAAATCTCATCGACCACTATTAGTCACTGGTCTAGTTGAAGAAGTGTCAGTCAGTAGGGCATTAGGCATTGGATGAAAGTTGCAGATGGAGCCCAGGAAATGTTGAGTGACTGACTGAGAGGAGCACTCCCACCTCACGTGGCCTAGATAAATAACAAGTTAGTGTCTCTCTGAGACGGTCAATATAACGATGAGCTCAAGAATCTGCTCTGCCCTTGGGACTCTTCCAAAGGCAACTGGTATGGAGCCAAAGTGTATAACTGCAGAAGAGCTCTTGTATGCAACCTGAAAGGAGGATAGTGGAATATTGTTTCCTGCCCCCCACCCTTTCAGCACAGATAGTTGAGAAGAGAGAGAGCTTGGCATCAACATCTGGCATTCTACAGCTCATTAGATAGCAAGCCACACAGCCCAGACTCTAACAGAGCAGAGCTGGGAAGACTTCTGGTCCTAAGAAAGAGTGAAAGAAAGAATGAAGCTCCTGCCAAGGATTTCATTTCCACCAGACTTGGAGGTTACAGAGACTGTCAGCCACCAAGCACAGCAATGGACCCTTCAGGGAGGAGGCCCAGTAAGCCCAGCAGAATGCCAGCCCTCCCTGATACATCCTGCCCAGAGCAACAGCGCACAGATGTCTCAGAAAGGACACAGGGGCCCAGCAGCTTCTGAGATGTGAGCTGCCCATATATTCCCCTCATTGGGTCTTTCTTGCAAGATTTTTGTACTTACTCTTTTTTTCGTGGATGGTGCCTATAATTGCAAGAGGATGTGCTCTGAGTTCATTGAGGATGGGGCCAAGGTATTCTACATTCAATCTGGCTATGCTATTGAAGTCAGTGTTTTATTCTTCGAGCTAATTGTGTCCTCTGGCTGAGTCCTGACTGGAAAAAATCCATCTACGGAACTTGTGAGCTATAGGTTTATGTATGTATCTCCACAGAGGACCATGAACCTGGGGAAGGCAATCCTCTGGGGACCTCTTCCTGCAATTTTTGGAGTTCCTTCAAGGGGCATTAGCTCTTCAGTGGGCACTCACGAGGAGAACAAACTGCTGTGCTTGTGTTCTTCTCTTCCTCGACCAAGACTTTGTACTCTTAGCCATTTTGGTACCATTCATGGTCACATGGATCTCAACCTGAGGGAGTTGGGATCATTCGTCTTGACGAATGTTGGGAAATTCTCTTTTATGTTTTTGGTGCATACTCAGGAAGACAATACGTTTCTCCATTGTTATTATCACTTCACCACTCTGAGACTCTGTGTCTTCATCTGTAAAACAAGGACACTAACACCCATAGTACTTACTTCACAGGTAAGTGCAAGTAGCCCTATTTCACAGATGAGGGAACTGAGACAGACAGAGGTGATGTGACCTTCAAAAGATCACATAGTTAGTAAGTGTCTGAGGCTCGATCTGAACTCTAGAGTATCTGGTGAGCCCAGCTTCCCTCCCTGTTGTCCCTAAAGACCTTGAGCTAATCTATTCAAGTATTGAAGCAGATGCTGAGTTACCAAAAGTCAATATTTTACCAAGCACATTCTCCTATGTCTGAAATAGTCATCTTTTATCCTTTAATCTGAAGTTCAGCGTTAACCTCTGCACCATATTAATTAATCTTTATTATATTTAACTGAGGAAGCCAACCATATTCTTGTTGTCATCCCAGAAGAATCAGGGAGGTGTTTGCCTTTGGCTCCAAGCACTTTCCTGTCTTTGATGTGGCTTGAGATCTCAAAGCTGGTGCCTCTGGTCAACTGGAGAGCAGGTGCAGAAATAGAAGAAAATCTGCTTCAGTTGCCACGCTGAATCCATCAGCTCTTTGAAGGCAGATAGCACTTTTATCATGAGTCCTTTGTAACTGTGGCGAGACATTGAATTGGTCAGAGTTCCTCTAAGTCTTTCACAGTCGATCATCTTTACAATTTTGCTGTTACTGTATAAAGTATTCTTCTAGTTCTGCTCATTTCACTTCACATCAGTTCACATAAATCTTCCTAGGTCTTCATTGAAAGCCCTTCCCCTTTATCCTGTCTTACAGTACCATAGTATTATATCATATTCATATGCCATAACTTGTTTAGCCATTCCCCAATTGATCAGCACAACCTCAGGTTCTGATTCTTCGCCACCACAGAGTTGCTATAAATATTCTTATACCTTATGGGTCCTTTTCTTCTTTCTTTGATCTCTTTTGGGGTATAGACGTAGTAGCAGTATCTGTAAGTCAAAGGGTATGTACAGTTTAATTGTTTGGAGACATCATTCCAAATTGTTCTCTAGAGTGGTTAGACTAATTTACAGCTCCTCCACAATGCATTGGCATACCTGTTTTCCCACATCCCCTCCAACATGTCATTTTCCTTTTCTGTCATCTTAGTCAATCTGAAAGGTGTGAGGTGGTACCTCAGAGGTCTTTTAATTTGTATTTCTCTAATTACTTGTGATTCAGAGCATTTCTTAATATGGCTGTTGATAGCTTTGAGTTTTTCCTTTGAAAACTGCGTATTTAAATCCTTTGACCATTTTTCAAATGGGGTATGACTCTTATTCTTGAAAATTTGATTCAGTTTCCTATATGTTTTAGTAAAGAGACTTTAGCAAAACTTGCTGCAAAGATTTTATTTTCCTTATTCATGCTTTTCTTCTAATTTTAGGTGTACTGCTTTTGTTTTGCAAAACCTTTTCAATTTTCTGTAATCAAAATTATACATTTTATTTCCTGTAGACTTCTCTATCTTGTCTGGTCATGAGCTCTTTCCCTATACATAGATCTGACAGGTGATCTTTTTCATATTCCAACAATTTACTTATAGTATCATCCCTTATGTCTAAACCACATACCCAATCTGATACTATTACCTCGGTATATGGTGTGAGATGTTGGTTTCCGCTGAGTTTCTGCCAGACTACTTTCCAGTTTTCCCAACAGTTTTGATCAAACAGTGAGTTTATGTCCCAATAGCTAGGATGGTCGTGGGTATCAAACATAGATTACTGTGATCATTTGCTTCTGTATGCTGGGTACTTAATCTGCTCCACTGATCAACCTCTCTGTTTCTTACCCAGTACTAAATTGTTTTGATGATTACAGCTTTGTAGTATAGTTTGAGATCTGGGACTATTCATCCCTCTTCCTTCCTTCCCATTCTTATTTCACTGGTTCCCTTAATATTCTCAACCTTTTATTTCTTTTATTATTATTTATATATTTATAATAAATGTATTATTTATATTTTATTGGGATTTTTTCTAGTTCTACAATTTGATTAGCATGGAATTGAATAAGTAAAATAATTTAGGTAGTATTGTCATTTTTATTGTTTTTGCTTGACTTACCCATAAGCAATTAATAATTCTCTAAGTATTTAGATATGTCTTTATTTGTGTGAAAGCATTTTGTAATTGTGTTGATATACAGTCGCTCCCCATTGCCTCCAGGAACAAAAACAAGATGCTCTGTTTGGCATTCTATGCCCTTCATAACCTAGACGCCCTCCTACTTTTCCCGTCTTTTTACACCTTACCCCCCACCACGTATCCTTCCACCCAGTGACACTGGCCTTCTGGCCAAGACACTCCACCTCTTGATTTTGTGCTCACCTGCCCGGCTTCCTTTAAGCCCCAACTAAAACCTTATCTTCTACAGGAAGTCTTTCCCAACACCTCAATACCAATGCCTTCACTTTGCTAATTGTTTCCTATTTATCCTGTAGATAGCTTGCTTGTACAAATTTCTTTGCATGTTATCTCCACCATTAGATCATGAGCTCCTTGAGAGCAGTGACTAGCTTCCACCTTTTTTGTTGCGTCCCCAGTACTTAGCACAGTGCCTGGCACATAGTAGGCATTTAATAAATGTTTATTGATTGATTGATCATCACCTTAATCACATCCAGATATCCAAAGCCTGGCAAATTATCCTCAAGACGGGGTTGGCCTTTCCTCTTTGATAATCAAAGCCTAATGCTACAGATAGTTAGCTTAAGGCTCTGCTAATCTTACCCATTCCCAAGCGCCTCTCTGGATTAGCTGCAAATGAATTTGAGTAGACCAAAAGATAGGATTAGGAAGCAAGTTGAGTGTTCTCTGTCCCTCTAGCCCCAGTTCCTGTCTTTATTATGTCTATTGGTCAACAGCAAACCTTGAGTCCTTTTGTGCTATATTTTGGGCAGCAAAAATCTCCCTACATAGCAAGCATTCGTTAAGCACCTACTGTGTGCTAGGCCCTAGAGACAGAAAAGCAAGAATGAACCGTTTCTACGCTCATGACCCTCCTTCCTTGCTTCTCACTCACTTGCTGTCTCTGCCTCCCACTTCCTTCCTCTCTCCCTCTCCCTCTCTCTCATCCCTTTCTCCCTCTCTGTCTCTTACTTTGTATGCGCCCTCCCTATCTCCTCTTTTTCCTCCATCCCTGCATACCTCTGTCTCCCATCCCTACTGTCTCTGTCACTCAATCACTCTTTCCTCTCCACATCCCTTCCTCCCTCATTGTTTCTCTCACTTTCTCCAACCTTCCCTCCTTCTGTCTTTCTCTTCCTAGCATCTACCTCCCAGGGTTGTTGTGAAAATCAAGTGAGATGGTATCTGTAATGTGCTTAGCACAACGCATGCACACAGCAGTCACTTAATAGATGCTTATTCCTTTCCTCCTTCCCTGCCCCAGAGCAGTAGGAAGAGGAGTAAAGTGTCTCTTCTCTGTCTTCTCTCCCCATCTGAGCTGAGCCATGGCCTAAAGGCTGCCAGATCCCCTCCTTTATCCTTACTCCAATTATATTGCTGGCTGCTGAGATACAGGGTTGGGAGCCTCTGGCTAAGGTCAGGAGAGCCACCTTCCACCTCTGCCCCTTCCTGGTACCCCAACATCCGGGCGACAGAGCACTGCTGGGCCTGAATTCCAATCTTGACTCTGGCTTAGAACCTGTGTGTCAAGTCCCTGCCTATCTTTATGCCTCATTTTCCTTCCCTGTAAAATAAGGGACTTTGAGATTACCTCTAATATGTCTCTCAGTTCTAAGCCCAATGATCCTAGCTACTGCAGGTAAAAAGGTCTACACCTGTTCTCCAAAGTTTTAATGTCATGGTTCCAGCCAAACCCCAAAGCCCCACCTCTCAGATTCATTTAAAATTCCCAAGGACTTCCCTATAGGCTTCCCCTCCCACATCCAGTGGAATCTCTTTCTCCTCAAGTGTTGACATCCAAAATAAGTTTTTAAAAATTCCTGATTCAATTTCATCTGTGTGTCTTGTTCCGTGACCTGTGTGGTCACAGCCCCGGTGCCATTCCAAGATTTCTGCCAGATTGTGAGGTGAAAAGCCCTTGGTAATCAGGCCTGAGAATTCAGAGGATATGGCTTGAGCCACATAGAGTGGTTTCCATGGAAACTCATATTTCGAGTTCCAAGCAGGGAATGTAAATGAGTGTTTGAAACCTCACCAGGGTGTGGTTTGGGGACCTTGAGTCCTGTGAAATATCTCCTTAATTCAAACCCATGGAAGAGGAAGAAAGAGAGGAGGACAACCAGTCCTGGTGGACATAATGAATTCATTCCTAGGGCATTCCTAGGGCTTAACCAAGCCTGCCAATCAAATGTTGCATAAGGAGTAGCTTTGGCCCCTGGGACATGCATCAGGACTTGTGTCCTGACATCAGCCTTTAAAACTAAATTCAGTGGAGGGAGGGGAGATAGAGCACATGTAACACCAGTGCTTGGAAGTGCAGGAGAAGAGGAAAGGAGCTGGGTATGGCCAGGCCAAGGAGGTGTGGGATGGTAGTGAGGGAAGAACTGGCAGCCTCCTGTTTGAATAATTATTCTTGCTTCCTAGGTGCTAAGCTCAGTAGTTTCTGCTTTAAGTACTATAGCCATCCTAGTTAGGTCTCCAGACAATATTCAGGTCCTCCAGTCATGTATTAAATCTTTCTTTGGACAAAGAGTACACATCAGGAGAGTCAGCAGTCAAATTAATGATTACTGATGGGCTTTGCGATTCTTCTCACGCCACTGTGCCCTACCACTCCTCAACAACTTAAACAGAATGGGAAGGAGGCTGTTTTGTATCTGTATTTTTTCATGAGTCACCATGACTCAGAAAGTCATCACATGATACATTTTCAGTTTTAAATCTGCCCTAAGACTTTCGGCACAGTCCTCATGAAAGGCAATATGGTAGAGTGAGCAGACAACTGGACTTACAGCTGGGAAGACCTGGGTTCAAGACCCCTCTTCTGACACATACTAGCAGTAAGATCCTGATCAAGTCCCCAGGCAGCAACCTAAGCCTATATACAGAGCCAAGTGCTGCTGTGGATTGGTGGTGAATTTATTCACAGGTCTGGGTAAAAAAAAAAATCTGCATTATCTTTTGAAGTAGAAAGACTGGCCTTGAGTCCCAAGCTCCTTTTACAAAGAGACGAGAGATAGCCTGGTAGGACGAGCTGCAGAAGGGGCAGCTTTGGAGAGAGAGTCTATAAAAGCCCAGCCCAGGCTATGAGGGGGCTGGCCCTCCACCCCCAGAGTTCTGCCTTACCAGGTGCGTGTAGGGAGGAGACAGAAGGAGCTCCCTGTTCCTCGAATTAGCATGTTATTCTCAAAGGGCATAACAAATATTTTAATACTTTTTTTTTCTTATATTTTGAGTTCAGAGCTGTCACCCTTCCTCCCTCCCAACCTCACAGTAATGAAGACCAACATTTGTTGCAGCTTGCACGTGAAACCATACAATGCATACTTCTATACATCTGTTCTTTCTCTGGAGGTGGATAGCATCTTCTTTCATAGGTCCTTTGTAGTTAATTTGAATATTCATATTACTCAGACTAGCTTAGTTGTTCACAGTTACTCTTCAAACAATATTGCTATTACTATATATAACATTCTTTTGGTTCTGCTCATTTCACTCAGCATTATTTCATGCAAGTCTTTCCATGTTTTTTCAAAAATCATTGAGGTCATCACTTCTTACAGCGCAGTACTATTCCATCACAATCATATACCATAACTTGTTCACCCATTCTTCAATGGATGGGCATCCCCTCAATTTCCAGTTCTTTGCCACCACAAAGAGAGCTGCTAGAAATAGTTCAAAACGTGTAAGTTCTTTTCCTTTTTCCCTGATCACCTTGAGAAACAAGCCTAATAGTGGTATTGCTGAGTCAAAGGGTATGCACGCTTTCAGAACTCTTTGGGTGTAAGGTCAGATTGCTCTCCAAAATGGTTAGA